CACCTCTCTCTTTCCTCCCACCCACCTCGCCCACCACGACCACCACACAACAAGCAACAACAACAACAACAACAACAACAACAACAACAACAACAACGATGGTGGTGCCCAACAAACGGCACCACCACCAAACCAACAATGTGGCACGCACGTAAACCGTGCGTGCCACGTCGATGGCAACTTTCAGGCCAACGAACGCCCACACGCCAGGACGAAGGACGGCGACAACAACAACGCCACGACCACCCACACACGGATGACCACGACCCCCCCACACACAACCACGACCGCCAAACGGCAACGTCGAGCGCCCATAGACGACGACGCCCACACCCAGAACCCAACAACAACGACCTACCACCCACGAACGTCAGCCCCCACCAACCAACGACGAACTGGGACCCACCAACCAGCACCCACGCCCACCCTCCAATGTCGACAACGCCCACCGCCCACAAACGATGAGCCGGCACCCACGAACGCCCACCGCCCATAGAGTCAACGTGGCACCGACGCCCACGAACCACAGCCCAGTAACACAAATGCCCGCACGCCACGACAACAGAACCCCCATGGACAACGGCACGAATGCCCACGGACAACGACACCACACGGACAACGTGCCACGTCACCGACACGACCGCCCACGAGTGAGGACGCCCACGAGCAAGGCTGACTGCCCACGAATGGAGATGGACGACGGCCACGGCCCATGAATGGAAACGGGCGACGACAAGCCCAGGTGAGTGAGCTCCATTACTCTCCCTCCCTCCATTACTCCCCTCTCCTCCCTCTCCACCACTCCCTAGCCCTCCATCAGTCCCCTTCCTCTCCACACTACCCCCGCCTTCACTCCCCTTCCTCTCCACACTACCCCCTCCTTCACTCTCCTCCCCCTCACTCTCCACTACCACATCTCCCCACCACTTCCTCCATCACTTCCCCCCTCCCTTCACCACTTTTCATCCTTCTGCCCCCTTTAAATTAAATGTAGTAAATAAACTTAATGTAATTCTATTCAATACACCTTGTTTTTCACTGGTTAAATTTACCTATCATAAGGAATTCTTAGCATTAAATCACTTCAAAAGTTCTCAGAATAAGGTCTCAGTCACATGACCTTGGGCTAAAGCTGGAATTTTCCATCTAGTTTAGCACATGTAGTCCTCAGGATTCCTGGGGACTTGACAGAATTTTTACTCCAACTCAAGATTACCAAAATTATAGTGCAGTCCTGCAGGAATCCTCAGGAATCCTCAGGAATCCCCAGGAATCCCCAGGAATCCTCTCAGTCCTGCAGGATTCTGTGGGGGACTGAGAAGTACTGCATTTTTGCATAAATCAAGATCGGAATTGAGGGCAAAAACACACATCACATTCGGGTCATTCAGATTCAACCCCATATCATCAAACAGATTCAACCCTGCCATTGCACTGAACCCCATATGGCTGTTCAACTGGGTAAGTGGGTCATGTGGGTTTTGCCCTGTTTGCATCATTGGTAAGGGCTGTGGCATTGAGTTGGAGGAGGGAGAGGAAGAGTTGGAAGCACCACCACTGGAGCGAGGGATGCCATTGACATGTGGATGGTGTGCAAGGATTGGATTTTGTACGTCGATAGTGGGTCTTCATCCTGTGAATTGGGGTTAGTTTGCTTTGTGATATGTGAATGCGATGCAACATAGATGGAGAACACACTTTGAGCACCTGTCCTTTGTAAGGGGTAAGTTAGTAAAGTAAAGAAACTAGCAAAACAAGATGAACCAGAATAACGCTGTCTATCAGCACCCACATCCGATTTCTCAGTGATGGCCTGTTTGATCTCCAACACCGACTTGTCTGTCGTTATCGAGATCTGTAGCTTCAGCTCACTGGGACCTAATGCGCACTAGTGGTAACCACTTCTTTTGATAAATCTAAGCCATTGCCACATAAGTCATTGTGTATAATGCCACACCCTTCAATGAAAGGTTTCATCAAGTTCACATATCTTTCATTCATTAAAATGTCTTATGTTTTCATTTCATTTCAGTCCTCAGCCATTTCATTGACCAATCTCATAATCAATTTCATTACTATGTCCTTTGCCTCTCATTGAATTCTGGAAGCCTTTTTCATTCCCATACCTTAGTAGATTTCATTATAGATTTCATATCTATTTCCTGCCGCTTTCAATGAAATTTTCATTCTTATAGCTTGAGGATTTCATTGTGAATTTCATAATCATTCTCTGGCTCTTTCAATGAAAAAATTATTCCCATACCTCAGTAAATTTCATTGTAAATTTCATATTTATTCCCTGGCTCTTTCAATGAAAATTTCAATCCCATACCTTGGAATATTTCATTGTAAATTTCATATCTATTTCCTGTGACTTTCAATGAAATTTCATTCCCATACCTTAGAATATTTCATTGTAAATTTCATATCTATTTCCTGCGACTTTCAATGAAATTCATTCTTGTAGGTTGGGGATTTCATTGTAAATTTCATATTTGTTCTCTGGCCCCCTTTTAATGAAAATTTCATTGCCATACCTTAGAATATTTCATTGTGAATTTCATATCTATTGCCTGCCACTTTCAATGAATTTTTCATTCTTGTAGCTTGGAATGATGTCACATGTCAGGGTCCATTGGGTGGTCACATGACTAAATACCAAAAATGGTCAAAAACAGAATTTGTAGCCTTACATTGTAGCTTCCCAAATCTGTTTGAATTGTGTTATAAAGTGCTCTTGTTGTGGAGATGTGAGGTGAAAGATTTTTCTCATTGCCGGCTTTTTTCGACCTTTTTGCATTTTTCTCCATGAAAACAACACCAAACAATATAATTTCAACACATTCAGGAAATTTAAAGAGGGGGCTACAATTATTGTAATGTGGGAAAAATGACCAAAAAAGGAAGGTGCATGCCCTAAAAGGGAAATTCACATGGACAGACAGCTGATAGACTATAAAAGTCAGTTATAGGTTACAAAGTTTACTGATGGACTACAAAAGTTGTAGTGTCCACTTTTTGAGACTGCAAGAGTTGTAGTATCTGCTTTTTTCATTAGAACAGCTTGTAGTGTCCACTTTTTCATTAGAACAGTTTGTAGTATCCACTTTTTCATTAGAAAAGTTGTAGTGTCCGCTTTTTGAGACTATTGTAGTCTCTGCTTTTTTTGTTAGGAAAGTTGTAGTGTCCCCTTTTTGACACTACAACTATTTGTAGTGTCTGCTTTTTTCATTAGAAACCTTGTAGTGTCCGCTTTTTGAGACTACAAAAGTTTGTAGTCTGCTTTCTGACATATAGTTTGCAGTGTCCTTGACTATGAATAGGTTTGTGAAGATATAGTTGAAGGGTTGATTTGACTTGACATTTGCCATTTCTGCATCATAGGTGTTGACATGCTGCCCAAGGTTGTCTTTTACATCAGGGAAGGCTTTCATATCACAACCTACTATCCAATCTCTGACCTCAGGCAATGTCCTATTCATTCAGTAGCTCCAGTTCTATGTCTGACTATAGCCATCCCTCACAACATCCATCTTGAAGGGTATAAATTCTCTGTCACATGTGTGCAGTGGATCATGTCTTTTAATATCATGATGAGTTGTAACTTTCCAGGCCTTCATTACAGTTAGTCTTGAGTCTTGAGAGAATTCATTCAAGGGTACCATGAATGAACAATACAGGGTACTTAGTTTGGTCTTCTGTCTTTGTCCTGTTTGTTAATGCTCATCCAGAATTGAGGTGAATGACAACCTGGGAGTTTCTTGTCCTTTTTCATCATGACCTGCATTTCTAAATGTGATAAAACCTTTGAGGACCAATCAGCCCATTTGTGCAGCATTATACACAT